ATTAAACTAACAAAAAAACATAATTAATTTTTGTAATTTATTAATAAATTACAAAAATATTTGATTACACAAAGTGATCACAACTTTTTTTTAAATGAAAAACTCATTTAAAATCAACAAACAAAAATTTTTTGTTTTGTAAATTTCAAAATTTTTTTAGTTGCCCAACAAGTGACATCAGTTTATAAATAATTGTTATTATAATTTATAAATTTTAAAATGTTTATTCAAACATTTGTGGCATATTTAGCCACAGTTTGCCTGACTTGTGTCATACACATATAAAAGTTAAAAGATAGCTACACACACTTGTTGCATATAAAATAATACAAAATAACAAAAAATGTTAACATCTATCAGACTATACTCAAGCAGTCGGTGGTTGAGCGATTTAGGCAATCAACGCTAATGCTTGAAAAGCGTGGGTTCGTTTCCATGTGTAAAAATTTAATTGAATCTACGGCCCTTGTCTAGAGTTAATGGGGAGAGCTCGGCTCACTGGCCGCTCAGTGTAGAAACTCTAGTTTTGTAGAGAGGGCACTTTTGGCATGTGTCAGGATAGGTTGTGTGTCAAACCACTGATTTTAAACTCAAAAAGTATGAATCAAGTGGCTAATAAGAGTAGTCAGGACCTTTTTTGGAAGACTACACTGACTTAAAACAAAACTACTAATAACTATCAGACTGAAATTTTTAAAATAAACAATAATTTAAAATAAACGTTTTTGAAACTATCTATTTTAATGGTTTGGTTAGAAAAAAATCCNAACTATTAGAAACGTGAAAAACTAAAAAGTTCGAGTGATGGTTGCCTTAATGGTTTGGTTAGAAAAAAATCTTTTGCATTATTTAAACAAAGTTTTATTTAAAACGAGTAATTTTTTAACTTAAATGTGTTAAATTATTTTTAAAAATGGTAAAAATGTAATTATACACACTAATTTGTTATGTTTGTTAAAAATAATTAGGTTTTTAATCAACACATAATAAAATGATTGATAGTTTTTTTATTTTTTTTTGTTAAAAATTAATGCAAATTTTTATCAATATTTAGTTAAAGTTTTGTTTTTAACTTTTGTTTAATAAAACAAGTTTATTTAAAGTTTAACTTTAATTATTATTAAAAATCTTTAAAACACACTTTCAAAAAATGTTTTGATTATTTATTACAAAAATAAAAAATATTTACAAACTTTTAATATAAAAAATATCATCGTTTTAACTAGTGTTACAAAAGCTAATGATGCGTATAATACAAAACAACAAGTTCATTATTTATAAAAAATAAAACTAGTTTTGTGCATCAAAAAATTTGTAACAAAAAAAATTTAAGTTATTTTAAAATAGTTTTATAAAACCTGCCATTTAAATTAAATAAACTATAAAAACAAAATTTTTAAACATTTTGTTGTTGTATTGTTCTAAAAATAAAAAAATGCAAACAAAAAACTAAGTATTTTTAATTTAAATTATACTGATTTTCTAATTAATTTGTAATTATTTTTTTAGCACACTGCACACGTATCACAACTGCATCTATGACATCAGTTTAGAAAAGTGTGGAAGAGGTAAGCAACGAGTTTTTTGAACAATAATGCAACTAAATAATCAAAAATTTAAACAATCACAAAACAATCATGTTTAAAAGTTCGAAAACATTTATTTTAAAACAAACACAAATAAAAGTTTTACCTTTATATGAAATTAATGCAAATGGCTAGTAAATTTATTTTTAAAATTCAGTCAAGTATACTGGTAATGCAAATACAATAGTCATGTTTAGATAAAAAGTAAAATTGTTTATTTACAATTTTAAATATTTTTACAAACGCAATTGCAAATTTAATGGCGTAAATATGTAAATAGCAAGCAAAACTCAAAATAAACTATAATTTAGTATTCAAATTTTAACTTTATCTTAAACCTAAAGTTGTTTTAAGTTAATTTATTATTGAATAATAATTTAAACAAATGAAAACTGATATCATTTAATACAAATAGTTTCAACTGCTCAAACTAAAAAATTTAAAAATTTAAAATTATTTAGTTTTTATTTCATCATCCAGTTTTAAGCTATATTTTAAAACATGTTTATAAAATTAACTTTTTTGTTTTTTACAGATGCGGCTGAATTCTCTTTGAAAATTTTAGAACTTTTTAATCGAGCCTACCTGCGTGATTGTGTCAAACATGCCAACTTGTCACATTTGTGCATTCGTAATCATTACTTGGCTTCATCGGCTTCCTCCTCAGTATCAGCAATCAAAAATAAAGTTTGCTTGTTTGCAATGTTTTTAAGGTAAACATATTATTTTCATTATTATTTTAAAGAAATCTTAATCTTACATTTTATTTTTAAGCGCTTCACTATCATCTTTGCTGTTTATTCTTGCGGAAAAACAACTTTTTTGTCTCATTAACGCCAACTTAAATTTTAAAAATTTTTGTCAAATAATTAATGTTTTGTTATTAATTTTTAACATTATTCTTTTGCCAAATTATTTAAATTTATCGTTGTCTCATCTTTTTTGAACATTTTAAAATTTTAAAACACTGAAAAACAAAATTTTTATTTTACACATTTCACAAATTTTTACATTTTCATATATTAACCAAATCGGGCTTGCTTGTACATTGTTTTTTGTTAACAATATTTACAACTTAAAAACTTTATACACTTATATTGTATGTAATTTTGGATGTTGTTGTTAACACTTTTTGTTTTAAACACAATTTTGCAACTATCATTTGTAAATGTTTTTGTTGTTATTTGTTAAAATTATTAATGTGCAATTGTAAAATTTGTCTATAAAAATTTAATAAATATTTAATTGTTTTTATGTTTTTATTTAATATTTTGCTTGCAATTAAAATTTAAAAAATTAACTATTTTAAAACAATCTTTATTTTTTAAAAATCAAATCAATTATTTTTTAAAATCAAGTAAATATACAAAAATAATTGTACAAATATTTTAGAAATTTTAAGGTTTTCAGAGTTTGCACAAAACTTTTTCATTTTTGTTTTAAAAGTAACATTGAGTTGTTTTACACTTGTAGTGCTACATGTTTTAAAACTAAAAGAAGATATAAAATGATAAGTATTTGCTGGAAAAAGCTTACAAAAGTGTTTTATACAGTGCTAAATAATGATAAACAAAAAATGGTTGAATAGCAAAAGTAAATTGTTAAGTGTAACTAGTGAATGTCCATTGACACGTTAGTGCAAATGAAACAACATCATGTTAGCTGATATTTTTAAAAGTCTGTGGTGTTTCTGAAAATTCACTTAATATACACTAAAATTTTCAAGTTTAGTATAGTTTAGTAAGTCTTAGTATTTTGCTTTAATTAAAATCAGGCAACCAATCACAAAATCTTCAATGTTTTAAAAACAAATATACCTTTCTTGGAAATTGTTAACTCGACTGAAATGATCCTGTTGTATAATAAGATGGCAACTTGGTCTAGAATATGCCTGTTTTAAATTTTTAAAAAATAATAAAACACAAAAATTTTACTGTTGAGTTTTAACTTAATATCATTACTATGCTAAATTTAAAAAACAATAGTTTTTTGCAACAAACAATAAAATTTTAAGATTGAAAAAAATAAAAAAGTTTGAACTAAATCAAGTTACGTTTTGGCGTAAAGTCTTATTCAACCTATTTCTAACTAAAACCATTAAAAAATAATTATTGTTTGGTAATAAAAAAGTTAATTGAAATATTTTAAGTAAATTCTGTTTTGAGCTGTGGCATTCTGTCCAAGTGTTCCAAAATGGCGGTTCAGTTTTTCTTTTGCAGTTCTTAAAGATTTTGACAGATGTCGCTAACAAAACCGCTGAGCAGAATTTTGTGAGCAAATGTTTTGAGTCCAGCTTGACGGCAAAATCTCACTTTATTTTGGCTTGTCAATCCGACAGAGATGTTTACTAATTTTTCTTTTATTCATTTTTTTGTTTCGTTTTCTACTTTAGTTATTTTTAAACACTGATTTTACGATAAAGCATCAACATTTTATAAAAAATTATTCATTTTGCATTGTTTTAAGTGTACGTTAGTAGCGTTTTTCTATTGTGAAATAACTTCAATGTTGAAGATGTAAACTAATTAAAAAGCTTTGACTTGGTATTCCCCAGCTAAAGCTCAACTAAAGATGGCAAGTTTAAGTCATAAGAGAGCCAAAACAGCTGAAAAAATATTATCTACTGACTGAAAGAAAATGTAACTAAACAAGCCAGCCCCCTCAACCTGGGCGAAGCAATTATGAAGCCCAAATCGCGCAGCTTTGTGCATTTTCTGGTTCGAGGTGGCCATAAAAGAAAGCGGCTTCTTTTGTTTGCCATCGCTTTTGTGATACTGTCCATAGTAGCTATAAGCTATTTTTGTCCAGAAAATATCTGCCGTCAAGAAAAAACATCCAACATTTTGTCTTCCGCTTCACTACCATGGATCTCATCTTTTTTGCCATATTCTTCTGATTCTGCTAACAGTCTATCGTATTCGTCCTCATCGCAACAATCCGAATCTGATGATGTAGATCACATCTTGGGTCGGACATTTGGTTTCAGCTTCGATCGATACCAATACTTTCAACTGGCCAAAACATGGCAGGTCAATTTTGGTGAGATTCTTGCTAGTCCAAAAAAAAGTTCCTTTCATATAAAGGGAAACGATGTTATGGTATTTCTTCACATGCAAAAAACAGGTAACGTAATGTTTGTTTTAATTTTTGCAAATTTTATTTTTAAAATTTGTTCAACTCAGGTGGATCTGCATTTGATCGTCACTTGGTGCGCGATTTGATTCTTGAACAGCCATGCAAATGTGAGCCGAAGCGAAAGAAGAAATGCCGTTGCTTTCGACCTGATACCAATAACCGATACTGGCTTTTTTCGCGCTATTCAATTGGCTGGAAATGTGGTTTACACGCTGACTATACGGTAACTTTAGTGGATTTTCGGTTTATACTAATATATTTTGCTGTGTTTTTAGGAACTGATCAATTGTGTTGACCGAGTACTGAATCAAGTAGAACACATCGGAGTGAACCCCTTTTCTTCGCTAATTCGTGATCGCACCCACCACAACAGCAAGCTTATTCCGTCTTCCTTTTCTAATAATATCGTAGTGAATCGTGCGCGAAATGCACGTCGTTACTTCTACGTCACATTGCTTCGAGACCCAATAGCACGCTTTGTGTCCGAGTTTAAGCACGTTCAGCGTGGAGCCACCTGGAAAAGTTCTCGCCACTGGTGTGGAGGTCGTCTCCCAACTCCACAAGAACTGCCTCAATGCTACACTGGCTCTAACTGGGGCAATGTTTCACTGTCAGAGTTTATGTCCTGTCGGCACAATCTCGCTTTTAACCGTCAAACGCGAATGTTGGCAGACCTTAGTCTAGTGGGATGCTACAATCAGTCAGTGATGTCATCTAGCGAACGAGACCTGGTCATGCTTAACAGTGCCAAGCGCAATCTACGTCAGATGGCATTTTTTGGTTTGTGTGAAGAGCAAATTGCCTCACAGTACCTGTTTGAGCGTACGTTCAATCAGAAGTTCAAACGAGCGTTTGTCCAGTTCAACTCTACTCGAAGCAGGGCTACATTACATGCTCTCTCTTCGGATGAAATCAAACAAATTCACAAACTGAACCACCTTGACGTGAAGCTCTACGCGTTTGCACATGAGTTGTTTCGAGAGAGATTTTCAACTGTCAAGTCGGTGGATGCTGATTTTGAGAGAAATTTTGAATCTCTTTTGCAAAAATCACTTCATCAGCCAAAACGGGTTTCAACAACTACCCCGAAAACAAAGCGTGCCAACGGACTGGAGCCTAGCAACAAGGACCAGTCATCGGTGCTAGTGCCCGAAGAGGAAGAGGACGACACAGCTGATGATCAAAGCAATGACATTGTCTATGATGACGGGACACATGTGCACGATTCAGTTGAAGATTACTACTCGAATCGAATTGACGACTCAGATCAATGATACTTTCTGTACGTCCTTTGAGCCACTGAACATTACTTTCAACACTCTTTACACTCATTTACCTGAAACCAAGTCTTCCAAATAATCACAAAAGTCATTTATGGCCTTAAAAAGCACTAACATTTCTTTACTAAGCGTTGTGACTACCACTTGTTCTCTTGTTCTCAGTTATCTATTTTTTCCGACGCTAATACGGCGGATGCACACTCTTTCATAAATGTCTCCCTCACTCAACAGTAGTGCCGTTTCTGCAAAACACTTCAACAGTAAACAGTTATTTGTAGCGTTATTGGGCTATTTATCACGCCCAATTTTGTTTACTTTATCAGCGCCCAAAGCTGCCTGGCTTTTCACAATATATCTAACTGTCAAATTCATATTTTCAACTCAAACCTGGTACTAGAAACAGTTTTGCGTTTTATGTGCAAATAAAATCTATACGTTTTAGAAAAAAGAAAATGAATTTACTGTTCATTCAAATTAATGTTGTTATTCTGGAAAACAGCTAGCAACAAGATGCATTAGCGTAAAGCCTAGAATTAGTGCTAGCCACTGAATAAATCCAGAAATATGCTTCCGCGAGTTGGCTTTGATGATAATCTCAAGGAAACATATGTAAATGATGGTGCCCGCAGAGATTGCGGCCAGAATAATAATGTGCAGTTGTTGTTCACCAGGAGCTGCACCAGCCGAGCAAATAAGAGCAATAATGATGCCAATGGGCGACATTGCCGCAAAAAAGGCCATTAAAAACCAAAGAATGAGACGTGCTGTTTTACGAGAGCCTTTTGCGATTTTATGGTTCTTATTTTGAGATTGTTCATATATTTGCACTGAAATAATGAAGGAAATCAGTAGTTTGTGAGACAGAATGGCTATCAGCACGGTCCACACTCTAGAGCCATTTTGGACGCCGATTGAAATTCCGTCAAAGACTGAGTGACAGGAGAAAGCAAGAATCAGTAGAAATGCGTCAAAAAATGTAGAGCAGACACTTCGATTGTCTAGTGTTTCATCTTCATTGAGTTGCCGAGTATAGCTGTTGGCAGATTGCATCTCTTGACTATCAGGGCCAGTGTGGTGATGCTGTCGAAGAAACAGTGTGTGCATCAATTCTTCAACAAGAAAAATTCCGAAAAATCCAGCACAAGCGCAGAAATCAACAAGTGGTAAATGGCCTTCATCGGTGTGACTTGTACTTTGGGTAGCATTAAGGTACGTCTGGTAGTTCTCTCGAATTTCCGGCAACATGTGAATAAATGCTGTGTAGAGTAGAACACCACCTCCAAGTTGCGCAAGAATCTGTTGAATTTGCTCTTGTGTAAAGAACTTTTTTTTAGTAAGAGGAACTAATGATGTTTGCAAAGACTTTTTAACTCGGTCATTGTAGCACTCAGTCATTTGCACCGGTAGTGTTCCCATAAACAAAGTAAAAACAAAGAGAATGAATGCAGCAAACAGTAGTTTGCCCTGCCTATGAAATTCTTCTAAATCAAGAGAGTGAATCATTTTTACTGGTGAAACTTGTCTAGCCAAGTGCAGTCGAGTGCAACTGAACGCTTAAGTAACTCGGATATTATCAATGTAATGTATTAATGTACAATCTATATTGTATACTCCCATCATGTTAACCAATAGCGATAAATAGAAAAATGACTAATTTTGAAATCTATCTTTGCGTTTTTGTTATCAATACCAACCATTGTTGATTATTATCTTCAAATCAGCATAAATGATACTAAAAATGCTAAAAATGTCGAATTACATGTACGGCCCTTTCAAACAGAACAATTTATAACTCAAATTAAGTAAATTTAAAAACTGAATTGCAAAGTTAAGTTTAGATCTACTTTTTTGCTGATTTTATTGTTAGTTAGTATTATATTACATAAAAAACACATTTAAGATAAATNAACTCAAATTAAGTAAATTTAAAAACTGAATTGCAAAGTTAAGTTTAGATGTACTTTTTTGCTGATTTTATTGTTAGTTAGTATTATATTACATAAAAAAACACANTTTGTAGTGCATTGTTAACAACCTTTCACAAAAATTAAAACGTTAATCTTTCGATTGGCTTATATCAAAAAGCATCACAATATGTCGCATTTTGCGCACTCCTAACAGTTGTCGTGCAAATTTTCATTATAATGCGTAGACTTGAAGGTGAAAAGAAAACAACTGATACATTTTGCAAATCGAACAATGAAGACAGTTCAATTCTACAAGAATGATTTGCTAATGGATGAGCATAGAAAGTTTTTACAATGCTTGTATATAGATATTAAAAAGGAAAACACGATCAGTTTTTTTATCTCATGTAAAAATTACTTTGCAACAGGTGTAACAAAAATAGAAATGGTATACAGAAACGAATACAATTATGAGGGGGTTTTGTTTGTTGCAGTAATTATCAGGTGGCTAACGCTGACTTGGGTGTGTGTATTGGTGAAAATACAAGTTATGTGTGGCAAAAGTGAATTGTACAGAGGCGTTTTACAAGTAGAGCAACTTTATGAAAGAAATGTGTGCGTCCCTGAAAGCAGCAGTTAGGAGACTGATCCTGAGACGATTCCTCTGTGCAAAGTTGGTAAGAAGGGGCGCCCATTAGCACTAAATCGCCACAAAAACGGTGCAGCTCATGAAAAAGTACAGTATGGAAAATGTTACAAAAAGGAAAAAAGTAATCAAAATAGAATGAAAATTAGTGAATGGATTATTACCAAAGATAACTCTTAAGATCAGAATAAAGTATGAGCTCACTAATATCTGGCTGGCTGGCATTATGGCTCACTACACCGGTGTGTGGTTAAAAAAAGTATCACATTCGTTTTCGTATGAAATGGACATGTAGGTAATGAGGTGATTTGCTGAGAAGGTAATCAAAGATTAAGTTTGATGTGAGAGATGAAGGCGATAAAATAAGTGTTCACTGCAGTGGTGCAATCAATGTTTGTTTGGCGCTCGTTGTTGCAATCAGGTTTGACAGATTTTTGGCTGTCGATGCAGCCGGAGAAGGATTTGTTGAACGATCGCCGTCGAGCATCGATGAGGATGAGGTAGCAGAGGATGAACCGGTAGAGGAAGTGGTCAGTTGATTTGTCTCTTCCAAAAAGCCTGCCAGTCCGTCAGGGCCAAGTTGGGCTCGGTCTTGGGCGGTGAGATCGGCAGCCGAGCTGCCACCGGAGCTACTTTGACTGTCACTCAGAGCGACCTCTTCTGCAGTCTCTTCCAAGACCACTTTGCAGCAGTTGATGTTCTGACTGACGGCCGTGACTGACGTTGCCATAATGTCCTTTTGTTCCATGCCCACAGGCCGAAGCACCAGAAAGGTCAATAGATCAGAAAGCGATATAATGCCAATCACATGATCATCATTGTTGACGACGATAATTCGGTGAACCTGTTAACATTGAATAAATGGTTAAACAAATGCTACGTTTTTTATTGAAACAACTGGGTAAAACAAACCTCCGCTTGCACAATCTTCTCCAGAACAGCGTGCAAAGTATCGTTCATGGTACATTTGATGATTCGCTCAGAGTGGGAACGATACTCGAGGGCCTTCTTGACGGGTATGTCCAAGTTTTGATAAGCTTTGTCAGCCGCCAAGTGCTGCAAAAAAATGGCACCATTAGAACTGAATTGGTGGTATTTGTTACAAAGAACTAACAATCACGTCAAACTTGGCGTAAATCTCCACAACCTTGTTTCTCTTATCAACAATGGGAAGCGCCGAAACTCGTCTGTCAACCATCAGATTGAGCGTCTGAATGAGCGGCATATTTTGCGTAGCTACAGCAATGTTTTCATAAGTACCAATTGTTGGCAAGTCTCGCAGTGTTTTATATAGATACGATGGCATTGGAAGGCGACTATAGTACTGTTTTTAAAATAATGTTAATAATTAGTCTTCCAATAACTTTTAAAACTTACGTAGAGAAAGAGAAACTTGAGGATTCGCTTGTGTGTAAGAATATAGAGAACATTGCCTGATTCAGAGTCAATCACCGGAAGACGGTGCACCTTGTTGTGAATCAACGTCTTGATGGCATTAAAAAGGCTTTCGTCAGGTCCAATAGACACCAAGGGACGACTTTTCTCCTTGAGCATATCTAATTGGGAAAACAAGACTATTTATAACAAGAATTGCAGAAACTTTAAACAGTGCGTACTCCTCCAAATATCCAGCTTGTGATCTTCAAGTTCTTCAATGCGCAAATCAGGTGAATTGTAGTATGTGCGGAGAATGAGAATAAAGTCAGTGATGGTGAGCATGCCCACAAAAGCGTGCCGGGCGCTGTCCCAAAGTGGCGCGGCTCGAACTCCTGGGTAAATAGAAAGACGGTCTTGTGAGATTCTAAAAACAAAACACTGAAATAGTCTTACCATTGCTAAGAAGAGCAAAAAATGCTTTTTTGACAGCAAGCAAAGTGTCGAAAACGACCAATTTGGCACTGATCGGAACAATGTCGTAGGTGCGGTAAAACTTAAAAAACTTTACATAAACCAGGTTCTCGTCTAAAAATGAATGGTAATGTCAACAAATGCTTGCTAAACAACACACATTCCTTGTAACTCACCAATGTCTTCAAATTCTCGATCGCAGATGGAATCTTGATGAGTGATGGTCTGCAAGATGAAATAGAAGCGAGTTAGTAAACAGAACAACAAAGTCTTAGAGATAAAAACTTAAAACTCCAAAAACAAAACAACACTCTACCAGAGAAGATTGTGAGCGGAAAAATTTGCGTTTCAACTTGCGCACAGCCACCTGCATGTTATTCATTACGTGGCCGAGTGCTTGGCGACATGAGTGATGGCAATGTCAAAGAGAACTAGTGCTGCGGCACCAGTGCTGGTAATGGTAGACAACGAGAATGAGTCGGAAGACGTCGGCAATTTATGAACACAAAGTGGTCGACTTTGACTGAGATAATGTGATCGATAAACTCACTAATTCACAGATTTGCCTTTAAACTTGAACCTGATGTTCCACTAGGAAAAAATTCAAAACAAAAGGAGCGTTTAGATTCCGAGAGACAATCGATAAAGCAAATAAACAAAAAAAATGCAATATTACACAAAAACAAGGTATTCTAAAGAAAAACTTGGGAAACTTTACAGACACAATAAATTAGTGAGCTCAAAAATGACATGTTATTGATTTCTCAAGCGCCTGACAACTCAACAATTTCAAAATTTTAAAAACTAATTTAAGTCTGTTTAAATTTTTTATTAAAGATAGNACTTTACAGACACAATAAATTAGTGAGCTCAAAAATGACATGTTATTGATTTCTCAAGCGCCTGACAACTCAACAATTTCAAAATTTTAAAAACTAATTTAAGTCTGTTTAAATTTTTTATGAAAGATAGTTACAACAAACATCCAAATGATTATAAAAGTTTAACAAACTTTGTAATATAAAGTATAAAAGTATTNAGTCTGTTTAAATTTTTTATTAAAGATAGTTACAACAAACATCCAAATGATTATAAAAGTTTAACAAACTTTGTAATAAGGTATAAAAGTATATAAAAATAAAATTTAACAAAATTTAATGAGTTCACAAAAACACCAACTCTTAAGTTGAACAAACAAAATAATCTATTTGCTCTTTCCAAGATAAAATATTGTCCTAAATGCTGAATTATTAATGCTAATATTAATTTGGTTATAGTTTATTGCTCTTTTTATTAGCAAAAATTAATTGTAGATAGAATAATGCAATTATTATTAGATTAAAGTAGTTCAAGTGTCCTTATTAATTGTAGCGATATACTTTAAAAATAAAAACTGTGGTAACTTAAATAAACGCACACTTATATAAAAAACCATTTTTAACAACTAAAGTAGTAATTTTTCAAGTGACAATAAAATATTTCACAAAATAAATAAGTTAACTTTTTGGTAAATACACTAATAAAAAAATTTTCCAAAACAAACTGTTGTAACAAGTGAAACAATGTTGAATTGAAAAGGAGAAACGGTAACAAAAGTATTCTAAACTAAACAAATTTTAAGCTACATAGTGAAAGGGTGAGAAATAATTTGTGTAAAGTCAACAACAAAAAGAGAAGAGTGACAGTGAAAATGAGAAAGCTGCTTTTTTTACTGGTAGACTTTTGACAGCCTGCAGTGGTAGGAGTGCAAAAGAAAAACACAACTAGTCCTGTCATTTAGGTACTGAAAGGCAGATATGCAAAGTCAATGGCAGAAAGTGACACCTTCAAAAANGAAGAGTGACAATGAAAATGAGAAAGCTGCTTTTTTTACTGGTAGGCTTTTGACAGCCTGCAGTAGGAGTGCAAAAGAAAAACACAACTAGTCCTGCCATTTAGGTACTAAAAGGCAGATATGCAAAGTCAATGGCAGAAAGTGACACCTTCAAAAGAGAAGAACTGACACACTGAAGAAGCACAGCTATTTGCGCTTTTGTAATTAATTATTTAGGTGATGATTACGCAACGAATATGTCAATGTGATAAACCATGCTACAAGTAAACAAATAGAGAGTGAAAGCAGACTTTCTGGCAAAAAGAATGCACTCTACTCGCTGTTGCCAATCCAATACTGTAACCCAGGCAAATGAACAATTGCAGTAGCTACCGACTATACTGACCATACACTCGGAAACAAAGGAATGAAGCGAATTGTTGTTCAGAAAATATCACAAACTACTTGCAAAATATAAAGCTATAAAATTAAGACAAGTCAAACATAGTGGGTGTGAAAAGTAACATTGAAACCAGAAATTTACTAAATGTTCACTGAATGATGCAAATGCCAAGTTCAATTACCCAAAGTCTAAGTTAATATATAGAAAGCCTTTTAATGAAAAAGGCAAAACAAACTAATGGTGTTAAGCTAATTTTCTTTTGTCATTACAGACTCTGTATTACAGAGTGTGCACAATTTATAAATTGTTTTATGGACTTGTACTCAACTTGTAAAACATGCAGCAAAAAACAAAACTATTGTTAAAACTATGTAAAATGTTTTAAAACTCGATATTCATTTACTTGTATTTATAAAATATAAAATTAATTTTAAACAAGCTCAAGTTGTTGAAAAATAAAACTCTATCATGATTTAACAAAAAATACACTAGTTTTAGAAAACGGAAGATAAAATTACAGCACCATGACACAGGAAAACTCTTAAATACTTATATGAAAGTATACATTTTCTAAACATCCAAAAGTCAAAAACCAGACGAATGCAAGCGATAAACGTACTATGCTGCTCTCTGCTTACTTCCGGAATTCCCATACACACACGCCACAGTAATGTTTGATCATTGTTAAATTTCATCAATGAATAAGCACAAACTAGTTGACAAACATTTTACAGCGTACTACTCAGAGCAAAATGATTAACTAATCAATAAAGCAACGAGGCAGTACATTTTGAGAAAAATGAAAAAAAACAAAAATATTAAACTGTTTGTGTCTAGAACAATGTATTGGCATCAANTTACAGCGTACTACTCAGAGCAAAAAGATTAACTAATCAATAAAGCAACGAGGCAGTACATTTTGAGAAAAATGAAAAAAACAAAAATATTAAACTGTTTGTGTCTATAACAATGTATTGGCATCAGTACTAGTCTTAAACACCACAAATTAAAAATGACTAGTTTTTAAACAAAAAGTTTAAAAGTAAGTCATTGCATTTTAAACGTTACTCTTAGTATCTCTTTTCTGATACTAATCAGCAAGTTCACTTTTTTAACATTTTAAAATTTTTTATAAAAGAAAATTTTCAAAAAATATCAAAAGTATAAAAATTGATTGCACAAAACAGTATAAAAAAATTGGCAAAAGATAAATTGTATCAATTAATTGATAAATAATTAATACAGTAAAAATTATCAATTAAATTACACAAACAAGTAAAAGAATTATAAAATAGTAATGTAGCAAAAAAAAATTAAACAATAATATATAGATAAAGACAAAACAAAACCAAACTGAAAAAAAGTTCTGCACAAAACTAAAATTACTTTATTAAGTGCGATTAATTGAGATGTGTTTTTCAGTAGATGGCTTTGAAGTTGGTAAATAAATAAATTGTGTGGCTGGTAAAAACAGTCGATATTTGGGCGCAATCAAAATAAGAAGAAAGCTTTCGTAAAAGACCGCTGTTTGTAGTTAAGTATCCATCAATCAATGAAGAAAACGTTGTACTAATCAGCAGTGCTTAGATGTTACTTCCATTGACGTCGATCTTGACACTGGCGGCTATTTTCCCAAAAGCAGTGGCAACTTCATTAGTGACCACGAGAAAGCACACATTCTGCAAGCGCAAAAAAGAGACGCCTTACGCGTGCATCAACTTTACAAACTAAAAAACTTAATGAGTAGAGCTGAATAAAAGTGGCAAGTTAATACGACAGAAAAGCTAGCTCATCCTAGTCCATACTCTATTCCACAAATTAAAATGAAATAGTAGAAAAAGAGAAAGATGGACTTTTAGATGAAATATACTAGTGACTAGAAGGTGACAGTAGGTACAGTGTTTTGCCAGAAATGCACTTGCTCCAAGGTAAGCAAATATTAGCTGCATAGTGAATGAAAAATACCAGGTGGGCAGAAGCATAGCATTTGCGACCACTTGGTAGTGGTGGTAACTTAATAAACAATATTCATAAACGAACTCAAAATGCCGCTCTAAAATTGTGTTTTAAAATGTATCAAAAGAGCAGAAAGCTTGGTTCGTGCTATATTTTTTGTTTTTAAAACTGTTTTTAATTTAATCTAAACGTTGACAAGATTTACAAAATTGCATCAAAATTTGGGCAATTTTGGAGCCACCTTGTACAATTGTCAACATTGAAAAATATTTAAACCGATGTTTATTTTCAAACACAAACTAACCAAGAGTTAGTCATGCAAAGAAAACATTGGCAAGTATTTCAAGTAGACATTTGAATGCAAAGTGTGGTCTTTTCTTTAGAGAGATGATAGTCAAACA